TATGAAAAACCAAAGAGATTCTAATCAAAACCTGAAACATAATCCTCCCCCTAAAAAGGAAGCCAAAACATAGAATCTGAAGAAGAAGAAGAAGAGAGAGAAGAAGTAGTAGTAGTTCATACATCGATTGTAATAAACATTCACTTGTAAATGAGCTGTCAGTAACAGATGAAATYATTGCACGTCCATTTCTTTTGTTTGCCCTTTTGAAAATAATTTTGTCTCTCCCAGCATTAACCCACATATATTAAACACAATAAAAAACTATAAAACATCTGCAAGCCTGCATCTTAAGAAGGACGCAGTTCGTTTGAACTGTTTCTAATAGCAAATCGATACAGAAAATATTTGGGTCATGATCAGTTTAAACTGTAAAACTCCGCTGAGTAAAACACGACTGTTTGAATTTTGAGCCCATGAAAACTTAAAGCAAATCGGATTATGCCTTTTCTAAATACTAATGAAGCATACCGAATATTTACCTTCCTCTTTATGAACGTTAGTTAATTTATAATATGATATGAATATGAGAAAACACCACCAAACAAAAAAACAAGCAAAGAAGCAAGMAAGAAAAACAAACTACGGAATGAAAGAGAGATCGTCAAAAAATATTCAGTTTCTCAAAATTAACATGGATTTTCTAATTAATTTGAGTCCACCGTTTATTAATGAAATGTCAGTACACTTCCTTATTCAGTACTTCCACGCCATCTTTTAACGTGAAAAGAAGAACAAACTCCGCTTATGTTTCTGAAACAAATCGTTGACATGTTGCAAAATAAGTTCTTTGTTATTATAGGTGATTATGACTAAACAAAAAAAAAACTAAAATAAACTGTTCGAATCATGCTTATTTTGTACTCAGTTCTTAAAAATGACTGAATATGACCACTGTCAGGGGCGGATCCAGCATTTTATAAGGRGCGATGGGGGTGCTTTTGTCAGCAAGATATAGCTAAAAACTAAGGGTGCTTTCCATTTAGGCAGAACTGGCCGGCCAGTCCACTCTATCTAGAGGTAGATAATGCTTTTTGTCAATATTTTTCAGTCATTTCGAGGTTTTCTGTAGAAGAATAATGGGTAGAATTTGAAAATTTGAATTTCCTAACTAAATGGGATTGATATATGATGACATTTTCTCTGGGTCTGGCCAGCCAGTTCTGACAAATGGAAAGCGCACTAAGTATAGCAGATCATTTTTGTTAGCTGCATATTGTCTAGAGCAAGAAAATTATGCGCAATTTGACAGGAATCAAATTGACTTTTATTGGAACGTATTTTTGAGTACACTACTCAAATAGATTGTTAAGCAGCGTAGTGGCAGACACATGTTGTGTATGCAACTCGTTTTCTCGATTAAAGTACAACAGGAGTATAAACAGCAGAAAAAACGTTGTTTTGATATATACAAAAATGACGTCGTCCAAAAAGGGGGGAGGGTGCCTGCGCACCCAAAGCACCTCCCCTGGCACTGCTGTGAAAGAAAATAAATTTTTGAACCGTAAAAAGTAGGAGAAGTAACCTAGTTTCATCGTCAGAGGACTAACGTTYGAGACGTCAGCAAGTTAATTATTGTACTTTTTACGGTGTAAAATTTTTAACAGCTGTTTYCTTAAAACACACAGGCATCTCACTATTTCATCGCTAGTTCCAAAAAATGACTACACTGGTCTTATCTTCATCTCAGCTCTCTTAGCGGAATAGTWGAAACCCTTCCAAAGATACCAGTTCACACCGTCAGCAAGGGACTTGTGCTTACCCTGGTAGTACAGACCATTAAGGTTGGAGAAATGGCAGTTGTAGTACCACCAGGCACCCTTGAACTCTTTAGCACAGTTACGAGTATGGTTATTATCATTATCATCATCTTTGGTGCTGAAAGCCATAYCACGATGTAAGGACAATGAATCACCTGCATTACCTGCATTTAAACATTCCAGATATTTCATGCAAATTKACCATATGATATTTTAGAATAAATTAATCAAAAAGCTTCAAATAGAGCAATGAACAAAAAAATCAGTGCCAAAGAAATTTAGAAAAAAWTAAGGTCAGAAAAGGGGTATTCAGGTATTATTTCAACTAAATTGTTAACTTAAAAATGTGAAAGAGGAGAAGAACGAGAAGAACGAGAAGAAAAGAATGAAGAGGAGATAAAGACGAAAATCTGAGATAACGCACAGCCAAACGAGGAAGATGCACGCGGAGTATGCAAAACTTTGTTAATACCTGAGTATTGACCAAGACTGATCAGTCTGTATTTATGATGTTCATTGGCCACTGCAAAGAAGTCATATTCGGCATACGAGCTGTTTCCTTCCCAATCCTCAAGTTCTACACGAAGACGGTTTCGTGTTTGGTTCGTCAGTCTATAGATCTTGTCAAGACCCAGCCAGAACTCGCCATCGAGATATCCAAAACCTTTCTTGTAGTCATCCCATCCTAGATAAAAATCAACTGAGCCATCCTTTCTTCTTTGAAAAACGATCCATCCTCCTCCAGCMGTCTTCTGGTCACAGTACACCTAGAATCATATTAACCCAACCAAATGATTTCATTTTGAGGATCGATCAGAGTGGATGKATGTATGTCAATTSGGGTTTGCCCTGTTTYCATCTCYTTAAGCATATTGTAAATGTAAAAAATACTTCTGTGGARTGTAGWGTGCATCATAGGACAAATCACAATCAAATAAAAACAAGTCTAAAATGCAAAAAATGTATGTAGGATAAGAAAAGGAAGGGACTACAAAAAACGAAATCAGATTTGAGGATAGTTTTTGACATGATTCTGCTAAACTTATCACTTATCACTTATCTTGCCATCGAAAGATCTTGAATGCCCCCTAATGAAAATCTATGAGGCAAAAAGCAGACCAGAAAAACTGCTTAAACCGAATTGTTTTTCTAATATATAGATAGATCGAAAAATGCAGCGAGACCACTTGCACGGTTCACTTTGTCYGCTAAATTTGGATTTAATCCGTCTTGAGTATTTTTTTTTAAAAACACTTAGTGCGCTGCCTGTACAACTGTAATAATTGATTCAGTTTGAATAGCATATTAACCTCTTCAATAGACAAGTTTGTACAATCAATGCGTATAACAACACCAGCAGCAATAAAAAGTATTCATGGAATGAAACTGATACTTACTTTAAAGTTTTCTCTGCCACCAAGATTAATGGTGTATATACCACTTCGTATGTACCCTCTTTGGTATAATCGCGCACAGTTCTGGAGAGCTATAAAATTTAGGATATCATTATAGTTCCGATATCATAATATTAAACATGGTTAAATGAGAGGGWAGCTACGAGTTTACTGTATGGTGCAGTATTGCGTGATTTTCAGTGAAAGAGTGATCAATAAAATAAGATAGAAACTCGTGAGTAAGTTGAAACGCGCCTCTTGGGAAATACCTTGTTGGATGCAGTATTATCAAAAATCAAATATATACAAAAGTCGAGTTTACTCCCAGCTAGAATCGAAAAAGTAATCAAAGGTTCGAATAGGATTTTAAGATCAAAGAAATCTTGTAAGAAAATTTGAACTTACCGGGCTCTGGGGTAAGTGGATCTAAATACGAAATAATAAAAACTTACATCAAATRATTTTGACAATCAAAAAACTACACAATCAACAAGCAAACAAATATATTATTATGACTTTATGAGACATTGTCCGTGGCACAAACTGCGGGAAAAAAAAAGGTAAATGGTTCATAAAAGACTGAGATTTTAACCCGCTGTCGGCAGGCGATAAGAAATGGTAACAATTGAAAAGAGAGAATCGCTCGAATGTCATCAAGCAAATGCAAACTCAGTGTTGGATATCCTCGAGTTGTGCTTGACAAAATCAGGTCAAAGTCTTCAAGGAAAATGTTAYAAGAATAGATAGGATAAATGAATAGATTTTTAAACCTTGAAAGAGATAAAAAAACACCGTTTTTAAAGGAGAACTCCACGTTACTTTAACCCAACAGTTATTTGATTAATCGAAGTTCCTTCTCAAAGATTACCAAGGGATTTTGGCGCATCTTTAACGACAAGAGGTAAATATGTCTTAAAACTAGATAAAAGTACCGACATGAATGGCGCCCTCTTGGTAGGCTCATATATATATCAGCGGCGACTACCATGGTGACGTAGTTGCGCGGTTCATGTTAGCAAAACAAAGAACTTTTCACTTATTAGAGGGAAAATATATTGTTTTAAGTATGAATTCCTTTTGAAGTCCATTTTGTCTTTTTCAATCCAATATTGCATCCTGGTACCATGCAGTATGGCATTTTTCTTGTCAAAAGTTSATTTAAAGTATTAAACTAGATCTAAACTACGAAACACTTTGTTTTGAACTTAATTTCGCCCCCTTTGGCGCGCAACTACGTCACCATGGTAGTCGCTGCATATATRTGAGCCTGCCAAGATGTCGGCATATATTCATGTCGGTAATTTTCTCAGGTTACAAGGCATATTTCTCTCTTGTCGYTGAAGATGCGACAAAATCCCTTGGTTATCTTTGAGAAGGAACTTTGGATTAATCAAACAAATATAGGGTTAAGGTAAAGTGGAGTTCTCCTTTAACAAAAGTGGCCAAAGCTAAGATATCTAAAACTGTCAGTTTTAATTAATGTYCATTTAACATTAAAGACATGTATTTTAATTTCCTTCTTGCACTTTACACATATTTTTATGAATTACAAAAAAACCTCTTTAAGTCCAARACTTTTTCGTGCACTCAGAAAGTGACAGTCGTATTTTAGAATACGCCGTCGAATGAAAAGTCGACAGTTGGTTTATAGTTATCATTAAGCACGAACATGAGCCAACAAATTGTAGAACAGAAATTGTCGAGAAATTYCCTGAGAAACAAAGAAGTACAGAAATTCATACCTGGAATCGTGAAGTACACAGAGTCTTCGTTAGCCACTCTCATATCGGGCGTGTTCTCTAYTGTCCTACTATTCAACTCACAGAGAGACTTTCCTCTGTAGAAGTTGATGCTCTGACAACCTGGCTTCGCAGCGCAGGCCCTGTAGCAACTATCGATATCGTCAATAGTCAAAGTTTCCATGACATGGTTTACAAGCTGCGTCCACCGTTCTGAAGCAGGGCAGTCGGACTTTGCGATTCGGAAAGCAAAAACACAAAGYATCCCGGTATAAATCAGGACGATTCTGAGAACTATCATCTCGCATAATCTCAGWGCTAAGTCGATAGTTAATAGCAAGTTCTGGAGCCTCTGCCGATTTGTTATTGCTTTATAATACACTATACTTCATGTGTCATCGCTTTGGTAAGATCAATTCATTTTTAATAGCTCTCCATGAGGCTCGCGCAATTTTAAAGCTTTTAAAAAATAACTCGATCACCTGGGAAAATCATTTCCTATTTTTGACATCGAAATCAAATTTTCAATTGACTATACAAACATAACAATTTGGTGTATAAAGGACTAGACTTTCTTTAGTTGTCGCTTCGTTGCAGCCTTGAAGAACCGGGAGCTGCCGGGTATCTAAGATAAATGAAATGTCACGTCTCCGAGGGCTGCAGGGCCCGCGCGTGACCTTCTGACGGACGAATGAAATGCTTAGCTCGCCGATTTCTAAAGATGTTATGCGAGAGATAGTTGAATGGCGATTTCACGGCCAAAAGTGTCTCTGATAAGTGCTTTTGACTTAACCAACTACAAATCGATTTATCATGTAATTCAAAATTACTATGATGACTCGCAGAGGTGATTCTATTGTAGTGCCGTCTACCATACGAATGTCTATGCAATTCTTTCTTCTTGCCCTTTCTTTAAAAGCGYTTTTWAAAAKWATCTAGRGAAACAGTGAAGATTAACAATGTTTGAAGACGGCTGCGACGCTTATGAGTGCWCTYCACCCTTCCATTTAATTTTGTACACTTGTCAATAAAAGAGTTTATTTTTAGTTTATTGACCTTTATCTGACAGTTTTTCAATTCCGAGAAAGTACTYAATATCAATCATTTTGAGAATTTTTATTTATATATATTTTTGGACGAATAATGACGTTTCTCAACTTTGGAAATTTCCAATCAATTAAGATTCAGGACTCTCATATAACGGACAGTTATATTTCCCAATTTTTTAACTCGCTCGCTTCTGACCGAAAATCCTTCTATAGCTACGATATTCACATACATATTTTTTTTAAGAATAAAGAATCTAAATATTCTTTGGGATATTAGTGATGTGTTCGTAATTTCAATTTGATGTAGCTTTGTCCAATTTCAATCCTATATGTAAACAGTCCTAAAAAATGGTTGTGCAATCCTGCACGCGAAAGAATTGTTCGACTTTTTTAACATTTTGAACACTAAACTGGCCGTTAGCATTCATTGTGCTATGCTATAAAATTGAAAAAAATCTTTCGACAAAGAGTCGTGCTACCAAGCTTYAAACTTGGCTGAAGGTTAGTTGGGAGTAACCTCAATGAAAATATATATTGGAAATAACAAAAAAAAAAAACAAAGAGAAACTAAATCAAAACATAGCCAAGAAGGAATAACCAAATAAACAAAGAAGYTCCATGATATGAAGGACTAAAAATATCATTAAAAAAACATAATGAGACTGATGATTAATCGACTGTAATAGAAAAGGTATTTCTCAGTGACAGATGAAATAATCAAACAGTCCTTTCTTTTGTCCTTTTCAAAGATAAATTAAATTCTTGCAACATAAACTTAATAACATATACTAAACACAATCTATAAAGTACGTAACAGCTGCAAGTCTACATTTAATGCTTCAATGCTTCGTTTGGACATTAGTTTAATATAACAACTCAGATGAAGAGAGATGAGTCACCATTCCAGAGAAATATCCTGGAAGAATAGGAAAAGATAACTTTCTAACAAAAAAACATTGAGGTAAGCGCTTCCGTGATTACAWTTTGGAAAATAAAAATCGATTTTCATACAACCATTACGCCGAGTGTAGGTGGCATGTAAAACTATACTAAAAGTTCTTAGCTTTATAATTTTTTTTTAATTTCTTGAAAATGATATTATTGATACTATAAATATTAACCCTTAACCGCCTGCTTTTAAAATATSTTTATAAATCCCCGAAGTCGCAAGAGTGTCAAGTTACCCTTGCAYCTAAGGACAAAATATTGCACCGATTGCCTTCTTTGGATGTTAAAACTTGCCAATTTTAGCTCGATAGGTTCTGAAATCTTCMACAGAACCCGAAAAATAGATTGTACCCACTTGGTTTCTTCCAGAAGAGTGTCTTGTCCACCTATTCGAGCTTAATGCTGCAGGTCAAGGGGACCCTGTCTCAGCTAGTTACACGTAAAAAATGATAAAAAAGCTATTTTTCCGAATTTGAGAAYGACCACTAATCTAGCTGCAAGATGTCTCCAGATGTCTTCAAGATGTTGCCAAGCGTTGCTGAAGTAAACAGTGTCAATACTTAATATGGGTCTACAATAATTTGATTAGCAATTCCTTATATGGGACGGGCACTATTTCTTGAAATACAAATAAAAATCAAGAATAAATTGTCATCGTCAAAGGGTTAACGACGAGATCTTTTTCGCTTAAGCCCTGTAAAATATCAGTATTTGCTAATCTAGATTTTCGTRCGGTTTTGCCTTTCAGGTGAAGTATCATGGCATTATTGTCTGAAGATGGGAAAATCTTCTGGTTTACAATATTCTTTTTGGAAGGTTTCTTTATYGTATTTTGTAACATCCTTGGTGTTTTTATCTTTGCAAGAAAGTTTCACTTCAAACCATGTCTCCTGCTCGTTAACCAGTGTTTTGCRGATCTTCTTATGGGAATAACAYTGTTTTATGAATGCTACGAGTTATATACTGACTCCATCGGAAGTTTTATGGACTGCCCTAACATACAAGGATCAATGGAAACTATATTGTTTAATCTTCCAATGATAGCATCAGTGGATTCTCTTGCCATTATCGCYCTTGAGAGAGCATATGCCATATTTTGGCCATTTCGACATCGAGTTCTTGAGACAAAGCAYTATGGACGCRCAATAATTGTTACATGGATAATGTCCTGCATAACAACCATCATTTTAGTTATATCTAYGTGCAAAGTAMTGAGTATGCGACTTGTTGACTTTGTCTTTGTTTTATCAATTATTGCACTTTCTTTTTCTGTTAGCGCTTTGATTTTTTCTTATGTTAGTATTTACATAAAACTCAATTTTTTCCCAGTATTTCAAAGCAGCCTTAATAGTAGAAGGCAAATAAAACTCTGTAGAACTCTCTTTTCGGCAACTGTAGCATCAGCATTGTCGTTTTTGCCAATGGTTATCATAGTAATGTACTGCCAAGAACACTGGGGTGGCGACTGGTCAACCTGCGTACCGAACCATTTTTACAACATTGCAATACTTGTTCTTTATTCAAATTCATTTATCAATTTCTTTATTTATTCTTGGAAGTTTCCGGAGTTTCGTAATGATTTTAAAGACTTTCTCATACGGATAAAGAGATTTTTYGTTCGTGATGAGGAACAAGTTCGACCAGCAGCTGTAGTAAGTCAACTTTAGCGGAAGAGTAAACTAGAGTACAAACAATTTAAATGTGTGCAACTCTTTCCACTATTTACTACAAAAAAGTTTTAATTAAACAATATAAAAACAATATAATTACTATAATTTAGCAGTATTTAGTGGTATTTGTGTTTACAGTTTTTGTGTTTGTACTCTATTATATTCCAGTGTTCAATTAACTAAGTTATAAAAAGATCTTCTAGTAACATGATTGTGCAATAAAATTATCCTAAACCGGCTACCTGCACGAGATAGTGTAGTAAGGCACATATTATATTCTGTTGAACTTAGAAAGTAAAATACAAAGCGTAATAGCCATACTATTACATATGAGATTAATTGTTTCTAAGATGTCTTTGAGTGCACTATCGCTAGCAGCCTTTTTATCGAATGTTGTGCTAATTTTAATTGAAAAAAGGCCTCTCTTCATTGGGTAAAATTCTTCCTCTTTTCCCTTTTTATGACATCCAGCAATGTTGACATTTTTATAACCGTGATGCACTTGAACAAAACCTTCTCACATGTTTAGTGAGATAAAATAAATCAAATATCATGAAAACAAGTAGTCTCTTTCAACAGGCGCGACTTCCGGTCTCGTCAAATTTCCTCCCCAAAAGTAACGACTGTTTACCCAGGCCCAACATTACTTTCCCTTTGATTGACCAATCACGGCTTGCCTCCTGAAAACCAGGAGHCATTCGCGCCATAATRAAACAAGATAGTTTTTATTGCAGCTGCGAAATTTAAAATCAGAGAGTTAAACGACCATCAAAAGAATGCTATTCTCAAGTTTATAGTAGATASAGTCGATGTTTTTGTTAATCAGCCCACTGGTTTTGGAAAATTTCTAATTTTTCAAACATTGGCATGTATTTTCGATCACAAGTTTGGTTWGTCGGAAATTATCGTCGCTGTGTGCTTAATCCGTTTTAAAAACTTGCTTGAAACAAAGATGAAACACTWACTATTATCTCCAATAAACGTCTTCGGCGAACTCAACATCACTTGTAACTAAAAACAGGGTGCTGGAATGAAATCGCGGGAAATTTATCAGGTTCAATTCAAAATGTTTTGATTGACTTTAATCCTCTCTCTCTTCTTTTGATTGGTTGTTGTTAAACAATCGGAAAGGAATGTTGCGCCTGGGTAAACAGCTGTTACTTTTGGGGAGGAAATTTGACGAGACCGGAAGTCGCGGCTGTTGAAAGAGACTAGAAAACAAGCRTTTATGCAGATGTATAGCTTAAACTGCAGGCCTTTATGTGAGCGTTTCAATCTTMAATTTTAAATTGCATCCGTGACAAGCATTATCTGAAAATAAATGAATGCAAATGAATTGCACACCTTGGGCAATAATTTGTCAGGAGGGTAGGTTAAAAATCAAAAGCTATCTAAGGAGTACTATAGTTTTAATTTCTAATTTCTCTCGTAAATATCAGGTCAGCCCATAGTTAGTAGGTTACAAAGGGATGAATGTAGTCTAAATACTTTTAGTTATGCGGGTATAGAGACAAGGCATAATTTTTCCATTTGTATGGAGGACAGTCAACTTTTTCACCCTCATTTATCACCCTCCCTCCCTGATAATTATTGCGTAGTCCCTAAGACTGTAAAATTTTTAATATGTGAAACAACAACGATAATATCATCAACATCAACAAAGCAAGAAATGCACATTTGTTTTTACATGAGCACTTACCTTAATAACAACTAATACTTCTACAGATATGATAAGCTTAATTAATAGTAGTAAAAACAATAGAAACGTATTCAATTTTTTTCAGTTTATTTACACTAATTCGTAAGATATTTTTACATATGTATTACATAAACAAGGAAAATTAGAAAAAATAGTTAAATGAATATATTGTTAGAGACGGAGTGAAATTAAAGTGTATGTTGGCCAAAGGAGCGATAGCTTTCGAGTTGGGTATTTCAAGCCAAAAGTAATTTGAACAAAAGTTATCAGCTCTCGCTTTGTTCTTATGGATACGCATTCTCTATGTGTTTACCTGACTCACTAAAAAAACAATAAAATGGAAATGTGTTAAATTTCATTTGCCATATTTTAGCATTTGTCTTCGCATGCTTAAATTTCTGCCAAATTCGTTATGACATTTTCTCAAAAAATTACCTTTAAAACGTTTACTTTTTTCCCTGAGCGTTGCACAGATATCCTGCCACAGTACCTTTTTTGTTGATTTAATAGAAAGAAATGTCATCAATAAGCAAACATAATATAAAATTTATAAAAGAAGGCGAAAACAGATAAAGCAAACGATTAAAAAGCAAGGATGGATTTTTAGTTAATTACATGGACTGGCTTGACTGGAATTCAGTTTGAACTAATAACAGCCGATCGGAGACGCTTTTTCCCATACAAAACAGGTAAGAACATAACCWCATTTTTTATTTGAATGAGATTACAGACGATATAAAAGTCGGCATATCTTTATTCTCAGATAAGATTTTTTCAACTTCACAATGTAGCAATAGAATTATTTCATTTTGCCATTTTAAGTGACAAATTTTGAGATAGCACTCTCTTATATGTGATAATAGTTCGTAAGGTCTTCATTGTCATTACCTGTAAAAAAAATGATGTAAATTGAAACTATCATCAATATTTTGATCAAGATATACGAAAACCAACTGTCGCTTCGTCTATCCACCATTTGATGTCTTCACACTAGTCAATCAAAACTGTTAAATAAGTTTTAGTTTTACGTTGTAAATCGTCAAAAATTGTTCTAAAAGCGCCGTTCACATCTGCGAGAGGATTATCCAAAGGGAATTCGGGAAAATTTACATTTTTACAAAAGCTGTAATRAATTTSTTCCAGTGWAATTTCATTCACACTTCCAGACGTTTGTTCTCAGCTAACTGCACCGCTATAACGAACTGTACAAGGTCGTACGACTGGAAACTATCAGTCGACCTTTGAATTTGTTTGTTGTTCTAAATCAATTCTTTTGAAATACATCTACAGTGCTTTCATGATGTCTAGTGCTAAGTATTGGCTGTTGATATTTTGGATTGCACATCACGTTTCGTTGTCGATGGAATCAGGTATGGGCAAAAAAAGCAAAACGGATATTCTCTTATGTTTGTTGATTTGTCATCAGTACCTTAACTAGTGCTTAATGCTTTGTTTTCTCTTTTTCCTTTTTCCTTCTCATGTTTTTTCTTCTTTATCCTTTGACTTTTCCATCTCAAGGTATGACTGAAACACTGATCAATTTTATACTTACTTTGACTGATAACAGACTGTATTAAAAGCCTTAACTACCAGTTCACATTAAAGGGCAAATCGTTCGTCAATCACACCTTTAAAATCGCACCTTGCAAACAAGAGATCGAATGCCCACTCTACTGCCACCAGACTGGTCGGTGCGTCTCCTACAGCTTCGACGAACAACTGCTTGTTTGCAATCTTAGTGATTCTGATCATACAATGCACCCAGAGGACCTGGTGAACACACCTCATGCTATCTACAGGAGCATAAAGGTATAATTACAAATTAAAGCCACTCCTTCATGGTGCTCCCCTAAATAAGAGCATCATATATAAGGGAGATATAGTGACCTTTGCAGCTGTTTGACTAATTTCCTCGATGTTTATTTTTTTTCATTTTTTACAGCATAACTGCAACTGTACCAGTAATAGCAAAAGATGCAAGCTTAGAGATATCACTGGCAAACACAAATGTGATTGCAAATTTGGCTTCGTTGGACAATATTGCCAAAAAAGTAAGCTCCATAAAAAATATCTTGTATTTTATATGTTAAATACATATAGTGGAAATTACATGGGCGCGCGGAGATACGGATTTTATCTTCGAGCGTTGAAAAAATCTCCCACGAGTGAGCGCAGCGAATGAGTGAGAAATTTTCAACACTAGAATATAAAATTCGACCATGTAATATTCTTTTTAACATACAATAACATTATATAAAAGCCAATTATGTCGTAAAATATACCTTTTTTTCTTAAGTCCACTATATAGCAAAAACCTCGAATGTTTTATTTTCACTAGTGAAAGTAACATGTTAATGTTATTTTTAATAGTGAGAATGATCAACTTTAAGCAATGGAAAAAAATATTACATACATCACAATGATTAATTCTGAATTCTCAAGTCAAGTTGTTTTGATCATTTTTTATCAGAAGCTGATATCTTCCAATCTTGTAAAGATGCTTTAAGCAGAACCAGGTAAGGTACAAACAAGAACTATAGTAAAATAAGTTCGGATTGTCTAAACGTCAGGCAGACTAATTTTTTCTTAAAAAATCGTCGGAACAACATTAATTTCAATTAGTACAAYAAGGGAAATGCAATAAAGACCAAAATAATACCGTGTTCGACAAGTTTGTAACACAAGCACGGCACTTTGAGATTTTTCGACTGCCTAACGTTTAGTCCCAGAAGTAAACGTCAGGCAGTCGATGTTTTTTTCGAAAAATTGTGAGAGRATTGACAGCACAAAAGGGAGACAAAGAATTAACACCCTCTTGATGCATCGAGCGAATAAATTGCGTCTTTTGAACGTCTGGCTGGATATTTCCTCTAAAGCCAAGACCCCATACATACTATAACCTCTGGGATAGACTACCAGCAATAGTTGTGTAAAAAGATAAATTTTACCAACATAAAAAAGTAGGTGAAACAACTTTTTGACGTTTCTGACGTTAATCCTTCGTTCTTCTTTACTTTGACRAAGGATTAATGTCCGAAAAATCAGTAAGTTGTTTTACCTACTTCTTTACGGTGTTAGAATTATATTTTTACACAACTGTTTCTTTAAAGACAGTAAAACGCAGATAAACCAAAAGGATGCGGTAGTGCATACTCCCAACGATGACCAAAAAAGGCATCAGATATAACTGCTTTCCTGAAGTACATAAATAATACACATGAAATCATTATTTAAAAAACTCAGCTTTTTTGGAKTGCTACTGGSCTTTACACACAGAACCTCGTCTTGRTTCTTTTTTGTGTGACTATGRTTACTGAMGCAAGATTCGCAAGTCGGCTATTTATAATGTTGTAGTCAAAAAMCCCATCTTCAATGCTCTTTATATTTCGTTAACAATTGACAAGAATTGTTATCAGCAGTGTAATTACGTTTGCAATTTCTTCTATTATTCCTTCTAATGAAACAGGTCGGCCAAAAATGGTATGTATTATATTCAAACCAACACAACCGTGACTAAAGTGTACTGTTACATGGAGAATATCACYGGGTGTGGTGGAGGGGGATGGACTACTATCATGAAGACCGATGGGAATAAGGTAAACAACTCCCCACCCCATGGCCCAACCCCCAACCCCCACCACAAAACAAAGCGTGTGTTTTCATGTTTCTAAGGGTKCTTTCCATTTAGGCAGAACTGGCCGSCCAGTCCACTCTATTTAGAGGTATATAATGCTTTTTGTCAACATTTWTMAGWCATTTCGAGGTTTTCTGAAGAATAATGGATAGAATTTGAAAATTTGAATTTCCTAACTAAATGGGATTGATATATAATGACATTTTYTCTGGGTCTGGCCAGCCAGTTCCGACAAATGGAAAGCGCACTTAAATTCCTTGGTTTAGTACAAGGATAAACCATATACATTCACTGATCCAGAGATAGTGGAACATTGTTCAAGGTTACCCAGTTTGAAGTACAACGATCATTTACTGTGTGCGTGTGAAGACTTCTCTTCAGTATACTGAAGAATTCGCCACTCGCTCGCATATTTAGGATGTGTTTAAAACAATGAACTACGAATGTCATAGCAAGATAGTCAGAATCAAACGAACAAGTTGAACTAGTATTGATAGGGACCGCTTTAGACGGTGCAACGTATCAGTTTGGTTATCAAATTGTTTTTGATCTGTACGACAGGCATGTTGCATGTGATAGGCAAAAAGGTAAACTGTTTAATTTCGGCGGCCTTAAGGTCTACAAAACTTTATCCCCATACCATATGTTAAACTATAGCTGGGACAGTTAGTTGGGCTTATTGATTAAAAACTGTAAAACTATTATAACTCTTCTTTTAGGCAACGTTTAGATATGATTCCAACTTCTGGACCAATAAAAGCTCTTATGTAATTGTTCATGGCCAGTCARACTATGATGGTGCAAAGGAGACAAAACTTCCAACCTATTGGACCATGCCATTACAAAGTCTTTGTCTTGGAATGAAGACCAAACTACATAGCAAGCCTAAATGGATTCTTTTGCAAAACATGTGAGAGTTCACTATTTTATGAGAAGTAACAAACTATCTTGCTATATCTTTTACTACACAGGAAAAAAAAACTAATTGCAACCTCAGAATTTTATTTGAAATAAGTCGCTTGCCGAATTTTTTTTTCTGCGAATTTTACTTAAAATTCTTTTTCAGAAAAGACTTCACTCAGATAGATTTACAAATCTCTTCTAAAAATCCCTCCTATTGATAAAATCTATTCCATCAAAACCAAGTCCAATCGAATTTCAAACTTCTAGGTCGCGATGCAAGGTTTTTTGTTGATATACTAAACTAATAAATCCGTTTTATATATTTTGAAAACATAGTATAACTGAACATGCAGCTTATGTGAAACTGATAAACGGACACATGGACTTCCTTATTTTTTTCTTAAGTTTAAGGTCAAGTACGCTGTATTCTATGATCGCAGACGATAAATACAGGAAGTTTGCTGTTGGTCGCAGTCAGTGGAAATCCCTGCTTTCTGGCTCCTCTTTGCAGTATGGTTGCAATCAAGAAGGCTTTAATTCCATTACTGATTCGGATAAGTTTGCAAAAGTACGGATTGGAATAATTGCGAACGATAATAAGCATTGCACTATGACAGACTCTCTAATAGGATTTGGCGCCCATGGGAATGACTGTAATGTGACAACGGGAAACTGTGGCTGGATCAATGCTGACAACGGGGATAAGAAAATCGCAGCCTATGGTATTATCTTGGGTCGCTGATGTCCATACAAATATATAAAAGATCTGTTAATTCATAGTTCCGACAAATCAAACTCGTTATCCGCGCGCGCTGGATTGGCCAATCAAAATACAGGACGCGTAATGGCAGCCATGTTGTCCCACAAAAAATGTCAAGAAGTCGGTGCGGAGGGCGAAGTTGAGATGGTTTTGAGATGTTGCTGGGGCACTTGTAAAGCAGATGAGCGCTAGCCAGCCAGATGAAATGGAGGACGATTTATTTTGATTCCCAAGACAAAAACTAGCCTTAGAAAAATGCTTGAGTTGGGTCAAAATGTACGGAAAAAGCACGAAGTGCTGAAAGAAAAACTCATGAAAAATAATTAAATCATTTCTCTAGGTCTTTTTCAAATTGACTTAAGATTGTTTTTAACAAATGAAACAGAAGATTTATTTAAATTCTATCGAAAAATCGTCCGAAGAATGTCATTTACAAAAAATCATCGAAAGCATTTGTGGGAGTGGGGCAAGCGCGAGCGTTCGCTTCCCGCGCTTTCTTCTGATTGGATAATCGCACGCTCGCGCTTGATTTGTCGGATCTATGAAATTTCAAATAGTGAAGTATTAGAAATCCCGAATTTAATTAATTAGACTAAATAAAATTCAAGTTTGTTAGATATATATAGATAGTTTGTTTAGTATGACCTTTAAAAGAAATAAAAGGGCAAAACATGGTCATCGGACATTCAATGCGGTCGTTTTATAGATGTTTCATTTATATATGCTTGGAAAATGAGTAGCCTCCTCGACAGGGATCAATATGCCAGCTAGAAATTCAGGGAAGAAAACTCTCCACGCAAGGAATACTTTGGAATAATTTTTGCCAGGTAAATAAAAATTTCCTAATTAAAAAAAATAAGACATTATTGACCATTAAAACGTTAAATAGGCTTTTTTTGATCTTAAAACGTTTGCCAGGAACAAAATTATAAATGCAATTATTATTGCAAATTATAAATTTTGAGGATATACCGACTTCCTGTGCCCGATTAGCACATTGTGACGTCAGTATTGTTTATAGAGAGCGTGGATATAACATCATTAAAACTGTGTCAGAGAACTAAAACATCAAAGTTTTTCCTGACATAATGGCGCCGAAACCCGTTTAAAATGGACATTATTGAAGAAATAGGAAAGAACAAGAACATCCGCGGGGCCTACCGCGGCCACTTCACAAATTATGATCAAAGTTCTATTCAACGATTCCTCGAACAGAGAGGTAACAGCAAACCAGTGTGTTAGTTTAATTTCAAAACAATCATAGCACCTTGCTTCACCACTCACAAGAGCTAACATCCTACCGCAGAGTAGCCGTTAGATTACCCAAATTGAAACTTAAGACATTTAGCGGCAACACTCTAGAATGGCCTAAATTTTGGGATGGATTTATCTCTAAAATTGAAAGCAACATGGAAAAAGCAATGTTGATAAAATGAATTATCTCAGCGGCTTCTGAAAGGCGAAGTAGTGGACGTAAATTTAAATTTTTTTATTAGCTTTGCCCCTAGTATGGGCAGGGACACCGCAACAGCGTGAGCCAATTACTGCGGGCCTTGTACTCTCACACTCACTACCTCTACATTAAGTATTTTAGCACACAACACTCCTCACATGTTGATTTTTGCTGAGGAAGGAAAACCGGAGGACCCGGAGAAAAACCCTCATGGCAAGGGAGAGAACAACACATCAAACAAACTCAAACTCACATATGGTCCGTGCCCGAGAATTGAACCCGGACCACAGCGGTGAGAGGCCAGTAGCTTAACCACTAGGCCACCCATGCCACCCATAATGGCGCTGTTCTGCATTAAGAGATGTTAATTACCAAACAGCCCTTGAACTCCTAAAAGAGCGCTGCGCTAAGAAGCACTTATAAACGAACATATGGTCGCCCTATCAAAAATCCCAACGACATCTAAATATGTAAGACAGCTCAAAAGCTTCTAACAATCTATTCATATAAAGTGGTCTTCATCTAAAAAATGCGACAGATCGCAATGAAAATTAAACGCGGCTCCTGATCGAAAAATAAACAATAATGCAAATTTGTTGTAACCCTATAGATTACGTGACCTCTACCGTTGAGTATTTCGTGCCCGATGCTTGTGGTGTCGGCCTTTTTTTGTTTTTTTTGTAAACCTAAGCTTTAGTTAAGTTTATCAAAGTTGCAAATTGCCAACGAAGAGTAAGCTTACATGACATTTGAACCTTCGTTCATCGTCTTCAACAGTCATTTGATTTCAAATTCTAAAGATCCAGATTGTGATTTGAGTCGACGTTTTTGCTTTTGCTGTCCACTTTACCCTTCTGCTGTTCAAAAAGTTGATTTTCTCCAGATTTCCCAAGTATTCC